CATGTTTTAGTACAGCAATCAATCTACACACTACATTTTTGTAACTTTTTTTTAAGTCTGTGAAGGATTTTATATTTTAGAAGCTGATATTGACATCTGATATATACATAAAGGCAAACCCAGTGTTCTCCATGAGTCTATGTTTTGAGGATGAATGTAAGCTTTCAATTTCTCCATCTGTGGCCACCCAGTGAGTTATCCCAGGCTTGTTTTGAAAGTTTGAAAATTAAACTTTTAGCTACAAATGTTAAGTGTGGTGAGTGCTAAGTATTTTACTAAATAACATATTGCTTGATGTGGAAAGAACAAGCAAACTTCACATGCAGTTCAGAAGAATCAAGTAAATGTGCCTGTGTGTGTAAGTAAACTGACTTAGGTATACCACAGAAATGCACTAATGAATCAAACAATCAGAGGCCATAATTAGTAATATGGACACACACATTAATGCAAAAGTCATGGGTTAAGCAAATCTATCAAATATTTATTTCACAGAAAGCCACCCTTTTTTTAAAAAAAATCTTATTTTCAGAAAAAGATATTGTACCATAAATTAGTGCAGTGGTTCCCCCCCCCCCTTTTATTACTGAAATACACTAAAATAATTAAAGAAAAACTGCATTAAAGACATGATACAATAAATCATTTGAGAAAACAAGATCCAAATATTCATTATAGGCTCTCCAGAGGTATTGCTGGAGGGAGCAAAGTACCGGTATGTGTTTTCTCAATAAGTATACAAACTTTAAAAATACCTTCTGTGTTACATGGTCCTGCCTCCATTTTGGGGAAGAAGATTCTGATTACCCCAGTATTGACATAAATAAGTGGCAAGTTGCGAGATGTGAGAATATGGGATCTCATAGGCTGGCCTGGAGATTTTATTTTCTCTTTTTGACTCTTTGGAACATTTGTTTGGAAAATACTTGCAATTGCATTGAGGAAAGGAAAACAAAAAACAACATCAAATGCCTGGGCTGAAAGGAGAATCTCATGAAGAAAATGAGGAGAACTATCTGTAAAACTTTCAGATAATTTCTGCAAAGTTCTTCGTTCATTTCTTGAGATCAATTTGTGACGGACATTTTTTGTGACTGCTTTTGTGTAAGTCAAAGAGAGAAATCCATGCTGTTGATGAGAACCATCCAAAAGTTTTGCAGTTGCCTGTGCCGAGAAACAGAAATATCCAGAAATAAGAAATCTGCATGCATTACGTAACAGTTATAAAACTGTTTCTGAGTCAATATTTTATTTTCTATTTCAAGTTCTCCACTTTCTTGGCAGAAGAATGTATTTCTGGGAATTTATGAAAAATAATAAATGCCCTGTCTCTTTGCAGACCTGACTGAAATTTGTTCATCTATAGAGGTGTTTTAAAATGCATTTAACATAGTGTTTCTCAATCTTGACAACTTTAAGCCATGTAAATGTAAACTCCCAGAATTCTGGGAGTTGAAATCTACACATCTTAAAGTTGCCAAAGTTGAAAAACATGATTAGGTTCAGATATAGAGTATGCTAACTGATTGGTTCAGAGAAACAGAGGATGAGCCATAGCAAACTTCAGGCTCCTGATCGCTTCGTTATTTGATTCGCATTTGCATACAAACGCAGGAAATATCTTTTCATTGTTAACTTTGATTAAACTGCAACTTCAACTTAATCAATAGTTAAGAAACAGGGATTAATTGTAATTGTTTATCGTTATCAAATCAGATTTGAAACTATGGCCAGCCAGAGTCACCTTGTAGGGGTGATGGGTGGCACAACAATTTAATCAATCAATAAATTATAATACAGTTCTTAAATTTGTTAATTGTGAACAGTTTTTGTTTCACCAATTAACTGAAAATCAACCCTGGATGCTTTAGATTCCTTCCATCTGCATACTCTATGCATGTAAAGGCTGACAAGCCACAATTTTGCATCACATCCAAATGAGACCAATCCAGATGCATGTTGTATATATAGCCATATTTAGATGTGTTTCAAAACTATGGCTTATATGGGTAGTCCTCACTTAATGACTCTCCTATTAAGCAACCATTCGAAGTTACAACGCTGCTGAAAAATTAACTCTATGACCAGTCTTCACATTTACAACTGTCATAGCATCCCCATGGTCACATGACTGAGATTGCATGCTTTGCAACCAGTAGATATTTATGATTATCACAGTGTTCCATGATCATGGAAATGCCATTTGCACACTTTATTGCTGACTTCCAACAAAGACAATGGAGGAGCCAGCAGTAAAATCGCAGGACAGTCTTATGTAATGTCTTATCTAATGATTGCCGATGATTTGTTTAATAATCACAGCAGGTCATAAGTCCATTGTGGTCATTCATGCCTCACTTAAGAACTGTGTTGCTTAATAATGGAGTTGCCAGTCCCAATTGTGATTATTAAGTGAGGACTACCTGTTATTTACTATTTCTATATTTGGAGAAATCCTTCCCTACCTACCTACCTACCTACCTACCTACTTCCTTCCTTCCTTCCTTCTTACCAGGCTTACCTTGTCGTGAATAATATCTGAAATGTGGCTAAGATAGGAGTTCTGTACATGAGCTGTATATTGTAGTTTTTGTACATATGCTGTATTTAACATTTTCTTTCTAATACTAACAAATTATTTAAAAATTTAATTATATTTCACTTTACATAATCTGAACAAGTATTTTTGCATGGTGAAAATGGACTATGGCAAATAGTAAATATTAGTAAATTAGCTTAATTCGTGTTAGAACAAAATGATTGGAATAGATATAAACAATAATTTTGCATGAACAATAATTGTGTGTATTCTTGATAGGATAATAATTAAAAAACAGAACTTCCAGTAACACATTTTAAAGAATAAATTTACCTTATTGAATATATTAACCAACATTGTCTATTCATTCATTACTGCCCATAGACAAAATCTCAACATGGTGAAAACCTTGGACTTTCTCACTTTCTTCTCAGAGCAGAAAGAAAACAATGTGGGATTGAGATTACACTGTGCTTTTCTTATTGAGAAGTGTTCTGTTGCACATTAAAAACAAATGTACTCTAATAGAATCTTCTGCTGATCTTCTGCTAAACCTGATTTTATCTTCTGATAAACCTGATTTTATTTATCAGGTTTATAAAGTTATCCATCAACACTCTGAGTGGCTACAATAATAATAAGAATAATAACCAAATAGATAGAATGATGGATATCCAGGAGAGCAACAAAGTTCCCAAATCTAACATACACAGCCCCATAAAAAGCCTGCCACCCATTTTGCCCAAGGACTGGGGTACATATTTAAAAGACTGTTTTCAAAAGGCCCCGATATATTCTCTGGAGGATCCTGTTCAAAAGGTGAGACAATAAGATAAAAAGTCCATTTATTGGGCACTGGTGATACTGTTTAATTAATGAGACACAGAGCATGTTTCTGTCCAGTTGAAGAAACTGCCAGAGACAGATGATTACATCACTGGTGAAAAATGTTCGTATGTATGTATGTATGTATGTATGTATGTATGTATGTATGTAAATGACTTTGTGTGTGTGTGTGTGTGTGTGTGTGTTTTCCAGCATAACTCTGGAATGCCTGGGCGGCTGAAATGAAAAGGACTGAATTATATCTATAGTGTGAAGTCACAATACTTTTGACAGTGATAGTGTGCATCTTGGATTCAAGTTCTGTTAAAATAAAGCCTGTTGTGCCTTAAAATGGATTCAACTGTACAGCACAGTGGAATTGGCATAGTAACAGCTCCGCAATATTCCACAAGAGGGCTCCCTCTAATACAGGATTGGGATAAATACATACCAGGTTTATCAGCTAGTATGCAATAAAATCAATCTCTTGAATTCTCATGCAGTTACATCACAATCAAAATAGATCTTGGGTACCTACATACAAACTAGATAATATTCTGTTCATTAGATAAAGTGGGCTGATCAAGTACTTTTAAAATTGTTTTGTTGCAATAAATTTAAGAATTACTCCTTGGGAAATTATACGAATTTTCAGTAATGTGTTAGGAAGATGAAAATAAAGAAAATTAGGTAATTGAATTTGTTATTCTTTTCCATGCTCAAAAAATAAAAAATCTTTATGTAGAAGATGGGGTGTATATGTGTGTGTCCTAGAATGCATGAGATTTCTCCATGGAAAGTAACAAATGAATATATAAGGCAGTCTTAAAAATATTAATTTTGCCAAGTATAAAAAAGATGGTGTATACAAAGAGCAGCTAGTATAACAAAACAACAGTACAGTTGATTTTAAAAAATTATTCTAGCAGTCACTAAAATATATTTATAACAATTTAGAATATATATGAGTTAGAGAAAAACAAATGGCAATTTTAGGATCCCTATATTGGAAAATATCTTTTTTTTTTCAGTTTTATCCTACAGTGGCTTTCATTTTCTCCTATAGTTATATATTTCCCTTTCTTCCATTGGTAACCCATTAAGCCTTGAATTCTAAAGCGTGTTAAAATTTGATCTCACTCACAAATCTTGGAAGTTTTTAGTTACTTTGAACAAAAGTTAGCATTATCCTACTGTGGCTTTTGGGTTTTGGCAGTGAGTTTGCTTTAAGTTTGCAAAAAATTATCTCAAATATTTTAATAGGCACTCAGTAATTTTGCTAACAGCCGTGGACCAGCAAAACACTTAAATTTATCCTGTAACTATTAACTTGTACAGCTATAGCTTCTTAAACGGCCAAATATATGCATCATTCTTCACATAATTAAATTCAAATCCATAAGTTGTGAAGATAAATTCTTCCTTTGCTACTCTAGCCAACTTACTTTGCATGTGAAAACACTAGCCAGAATACCACTGGGAAACAGAACATATTTTTTAAACATTAAAAAACAAAAATATGACTTTGACTAATGGGTTCTTCGAAGAACAGCTTTCTGCCTTCACCATCACCTCTCTGAAATACTGTTTGTTAGTGGAAGTTCTGTAACATACATATTGCACTGATTTCTTACAGAAGGAAAGAAGCCAGAGAAGTTACTGAAAGGGTCCTGCTTGCTGACCGGTCGAACCAATAATGTACGTCTGTTCAGCTTGTCAGTACAGGAAAGGAAGACACCTCCACATTTCCCCAGAGACCAAGAATCTTCCCCAAAGCTTGAGGTGATATAGATAAAAAAGCAGAAAAACAAACACTGAGCCTTAAGGGGGGAAAAAAATTCACAGGCATTAAAAAAAAAAAAAAAAAAAGCCAAATTCTGACATCTGAGTTCTCCTTGTGAGTCCTTCACTTCCCAAATCACAGATCAAATGATTTTAACAAAAAGAGAAATCACAAAATTGAAAAAGATGTCACTGTTTCATTATTTGGAAGCAACAGCTCAGCAGACAGCAGCAGCAGCAGCAACAACAAAAAAGCAGGGCTCAATGTAGAACATGGCTATTCAGGGATAATGTCACTCGATTTGCTTTTCAATTATGAAGGAAAGAAGTTTTATTAAAATGGAAGGAGATGGATTAAAAGAGCTACAGAACTTGGACAGAAACAAAACTCAACAGATTTTTCCCATCCACCTCTGCAAGAGCAAATTAACGACGTGATGACTTACATCATAATTGTTGCAATCATTCTTCTTGTAACGAAAATAAAATCATATATTTAGATTTTAGGGTAATTATTTGGTTAAATGTATTATTCCACTACATAAAAAGCTCACCACAAGCTTTTCTTTGCATTGTAGAAATATCCCTTCAAAATGTCCAGATTGCCAGCCTTCTCCTGGTCTGGAAAACATAATATTCACCTTATCTATTCTAAGTAGCTGTTCAGAATCCAAACATTTCAACTACATAACAACATATACATTTTAGTGGTATTTAGTCATTGATTGATTGATTCAATTTCTATAGCCACCCATCTTGCTCAAACAATTCCAGGCATTAATCAGGAGGGTGGGGTGGATGGGCTTCAACATAATCATAAATAACAATGCAAAACAAAAATGAAAACAAATAAATTTTAAAGTACATGCAGCTGTCATTCAATTTTACAAGCTAGCCTATCTGTACAGTTAGTCCTCAACTTACAACCATAATCGAGCCCAAAATTTCTGTTAATAAGCAAGACAGTTGTTAAGTGACTTTTGCCCCATTTTAGAACATTTCTGGCCACAGTTGTTAAGTGAATCTGGCTTCCTTACTGACTTTGCTTGTGAGAAGGTGATCACATGACCCTGGGACATTGCAACCGACATAAATATCAACCAGTGGTCAGGTATCTGAATTTTAATCATGTGACCATAGGATGCTGCAACAGTATGAAAAACAGTCATCAGTCACTTTTTTTCAAGGATGTTGTAACTTTGAACGTCACTAAATGAATGGTTGAGGACTACCTGTATAACTGCACTAATATTAAAACATGTATATAAGGTTAATTTCAACATTAGTTGTTTGTTTTTTTGTTTGCTTATTGGCTCAATAAACTGTTTCATTTCAAATGTTATAGGTGATATATAAAACAAGTCAAAATTACAGAAAAAATACAGAGAAAAAAATGAAGCAATACAACAGCAATATTTGGTGCAACTTATTCTAGCTGTTTACTTCTAAAGATCTTCCAAAAAAGCCAGATGTTAACAGATCTCCAGAAGTTTGTGTGAACAGGCCATTCTTAAAAGGCCTATCTTTGTATCCCCTCTTTTACTTCTGCATGACAGGAAAGAGTCATTAGTAGATATTATTCACATAGTTCAGGCAAGCAGAAGTTCGTTTGGATAGGTGATCACTAAACTAGTCAGTAAACTTCCTCAATTCATGCAATGAGTACTGATGATGACCAGCACCTTGAATTACAATTGGAACAAGCTAACAATTATTGCAGCTCCCACAACAATATCATGGTTATTCTCTGGGCAAAGGGCAGGCATTATCTTCCACCAGCAGAAGTTTTCAGGTTGACTTCAAGTGCAACTTCAGATAGAACACATTTCAGAAAGCTAATCAAGATTTGTATAGCTTCTTTTTCAATATTTAACATTATACAAAATTTACAAACTTTTGGGACAAATGCAAAAGAAATGTCTAATATCTACAACATAGGCATCTGAAAAGAAAGTAAACTATATAAATGTGTCTTTAACAGAGGAAGAAATCCCTCTCTTACAGATCTTAATGGTAAGACAAATTGATAATAGGAGTGCTGATCCACAAATAATCATCCCTTAAATCTATGACTAATAGAATGGAAACAGTCACAAAGTCTAGGACATTCCTAGACCGTAATTTCAGAGGGAAATGTGGATTAAAAAAAAGAATTCATAGGAAAAGCTTGCGGAGGGGAAAGAAAAAGCAGGAGGAAACTAAAGTTGACTTAAGCTATTCCAGGTTCAAAATAATGTCCATGTTGTATACTGTATAAAGATGTAATATGGGAAAATATATAATGCTAAAAAGCAAATACAACTTTATTAAAAATGTGAATTAACTAGGGTAGTCCTGTATTAAAGAATAGAATGCATACATCCGTAATAAGTAGGCAATTATGAAAGAACCCCTACTGGAAATATATAATGCCAAGATATGAGAATATTATATGCAGAAATGAATGGATGTATGCTAGCTGTTAAATAAAGATAATACAATCAATTCTGAGGAACATATGTAAAGAGTAGTCAAGCAGCAGGCTAAATTTTGGGAAACTTGGGGAGCAGAAAAGGCAAGGTTCAGAAACTGCAGCACAGGGAGGGAACAACAGACATTGTTTCCAGCTGTCTTCTGCCTAAAAGGTTTATGCAGAGATTATTTTAAAAATCCACTCATAATCAGACTCTGCTTGCTGTCTTTTAAGAGAAAATAATCTACTGAAGAGAAATGTCAAACTCCTAAATAAGATTTTACTGAATTTAGCCTTGTAATCTCGAATTAGCTTTGTAATCTCCTATTGGCAGTAATCTCCCATTGTCTTGTGGGCATGGGTATCTTCAGTGTCAGGTATCTAAGTCCTGCCCAATAAACAATGTTCATATCTAATATTTCAAGTCAGAGATCACATATAGATTTTTATTCTCATCAGTTCCTGGGATTGATTGGGATTCTCAATATGCCTGTAAACCAAAAAAATTAATTTTTGCACTGATAAATGCTTCAAAGGAAATCAATATCGGTTAGAAATTTTGAGAAAAGTCAACACTGTTTTCTCCCATTGGCATATTTTGTAGCAATAATTTACTTGCTCAGCTACCTAACAGTAGATCCTCTATTGACTGCTCTACTGTTAATGCTGGAAGATGGAGAATGTAATTTTGTAAAAATATATAATAAGTACATTTCATAATTGCATAGAACAAGGTAGAAGCATAGAGATTGGTTATGCATTATTTTGAAGCAAATCAAGGAAATCAGCCTTTTTAATACACATATATTGTTCTAAGATAGAGTTGATACACTCTGTCAATCAGGTTGAGAATGTCAAAATGTTTAGGAATTTAGCTGCATTCCCAAAACCTTGAAATGGTTTTTCCAGAACAGTGAACTGAAGTGATCATACACTCAAGCAACCCATGAAGTTTGAAGCCATTTCAAGAAGAGTTGCTTGATTTCATTAGTGGCAATGGAATAATCAATTCACAATAATGCATATAAGGACAAAATGTGATAAGTTGAAGAATGCTATTATTTGAGTGTGTCTTTGAGTGTTTGGAAAGTCTGTAATTAAACCCATATAAATTGCTTTCTCAGATGCTTGGCTGGGTCCAGGCTTTCTCAGCCCTTCCTCACATTGGGCATGCCTCAATGTTGTCCTTAATCTCAATCATAACCCAAGACCACTAGAAATCATGGGAAAGGTGGGAGTATTTTGCATAACCCAGGATGTTATTCTGCTTGATGATTAGTAGACAATGTATTTTGTTCATGCTGCATATATTTTATTTACATCTTGTTTTTTTCCAGGAACGTAAGTCCACTTACATGAGGATTTCATTTCCTTTTATCAACACCTGATGATATGGAAAGTTAAATGAAACCCCAGTGCAGATGGTTTATTTCCTAAAAATTGTGTGACATATCTAACTCCAGTTCAGATAAGGTACAAAGTCAATAAGATAGAATCTGTAGCCTGGAATTAAATGAATAGTATAGTCATAGATGGTGTACAGGCAGATGGTTTGTTTCTTCTTCATGAAAACCATCCTCGAGAAATTGACGTTTTGCCCACAACATAACTCAGGTTCTTCTGATGTTGCAACAGCAGCATTATGCTCCAACAGCTGCAAATACCCTCGATATTTACTGGAGAAATATTCTGTTTTTCTGCAGGAACATTGCATTTCATAGAATCTTTCATAGTGAACTTAATGCTACAGGAAACAGGGATATTAGGTACTACATTTATACCAATTATTGTAAACAACCATAGAAACAGAAGGAATATCAGATGTATGCATCCAGACAGAAATGAATTTTCCAAGGCAATTCCACATTTGGGAAACACAAAATTCACAAAATTACTAGAAGAAATGTAATCGTGGCAAGGTCTTACTGGGATATTTAGGAGCACGATTAGTCACCACTTCAAACTGATTATCTTTTTGGTCCTAGAGCAATTTGTTCCCATTTGCAAAGCAACTTTTTTTTCTAAAGATATTCATAGTAAATGTCCAGCCTGGTTTTATTTCCAGAAAACTATGGTATAGTATAGCCCTTTCTGCTATGAAAGTGCCATAGCAGCTGAGTACACTGGACTCATGGCACTTCAATATTTGTTATGCTGACGTTGACTGTATTAAGCTTCCAATCATCCACTGATCTTAAACATATGCCAGGAGGCAATAATATATTCCAACACATCCAAATTTTTTTCTGACAGTAATTCTGGATATTGGTATATCAGGCAGCCTATTCTAGGTAAAGCCTTATGTAGTAAACCAGACGTTGCTGGCCTAGGCAGCTAAATGTCTCTATATTTTAATTCCCTTAAATATCTCCTACAAACAGCAAAGTAGTGGGATTTACTACAACAGATACCAATTAATCAAAAGGCCTGCCAGAGAATTGATTAAAAAATATATTGCATATAGCATCTTCAGCTGCATACCTAGTGTAGTGAGCTGGAATTGGCGGAATTTTGCTAATTATTGCTCTACTGTTTGTATAATTCACCACAATATTTTTTCAAATATATCTTTTCTCCACTGGTTACCTATTTTAGTTAAAATACTCTATTGCAGGGGAGTCGAACTCAATTTCATTGAGGGCCACATCAGGGTTGTGTTTGACCTTAGGGGGCATGGTTGGGGTGGGGTGGACGTGGCCCCATTTTCAGCCTGGACAGCCTCCTGCAGCCTTCTGCCAGTGAAAATGGAGCTCGGGGGGGACGCAACTCCCTGAGCTCCATTTTCGCGGGCAAGTGGCTGCAGGAGGTCATCCCGGCTGAAAACAGAACTTGGGAGGGCCACATGCAGCCCTCCCAAGCTCCATTTTTGCTAGCAGAGACACCACGGGCCTGTTTGTTGCTGTTTCTAGTGGGCCAGATCTAAGCATCCCGTGGGCCAGATCCGGTCCCTGGGCCTCAAGTTTGCCATCCTTTCTATATTGATTGATTATCTATACATATGCATTATGGTTTTTTTTACTTTTATTAAGTACTGATTCATATTTTATTATGTATGTGTAATTATTGTTAGATTCACAGTTTAAGACTGGTGAAAGCATAATAATTCAAAACCTAATCAAGAATTAAGAATATTTAAGGTAGTGTCTAAGAATATAGGCAGTTCCAAGCAGGGTGGTGTTAAAATTAGGTGTTCAGATCTGATAATTCAATATTTCTAGATAACAAGGAAGTCCTTTAGCTATTGTTCTGAGAATTCCAATCACAATTAGTATAATGGATTTCTTTGTCCATAAGCATTCAATTTCGATCTACAAGTCCTAGTATTTCATAAATTTTTCCAATTGTTTTTCCTCAATTTGGAATAGTGGCATCAGTGAACCAGACTTTCTTCTTCTCAATAACTGTTAAATCAGCCATGTTATGAATAAGATTGTTTTATCATCAATTCCCAGACCCATCTTTAATTAATGTAGATAACTAGATACTGTAATTGGTTTTTTTTGCTCTTTAGACTTTAAATAATAACAATTCTTTTATATTCAGGAAATCCTCGAACTACATTCAGAATTGGGACTGGAACTTCCATTGGTAATTGATGAAGTCATTAAGCGAGTCACGCCTAATATTGTGACCTTCCTGTCATTATAACTAAGTAAATGACTGTGGTTGTTAAGTGAATTGGGCTTCCGCCTTTAACTTTGCCTGTCAGAAGCCCCCAGGCAAATCACAAATTGCAATCACGTGATCCCGGGGCACTGCATCATACATACATGCTGGTTGCTAAGCACCTGAATTTTGATCATTGGACCATGGGATGCTGTGATGGTTGTAACCACGAGGACCAGCTACACATCACTTTTTTCAGCACATTCATAATTTTAAATGAGGTTAATCCAAATGGCAATTCATATGTTTTCATATTGCTGATTAGAAAACTTTTATTTTACTGAACTATTGTAATCGTTGCTATTTCTTATGTATAAAATACATTTCAGCAACATATCACTATTACTGTCTGACACGTTTAATCTGAGCAACAAATTATTAGAAAATAAGAGTTTTTTAATGGAACATAAAGTTATGAATATTAAACACTATGGTATTAACTTTCTACAATTTCAGTTCATACCTATCATACACAAAAGGTAGGATATCTTTCTTTTCTATGGTGAGATTAAATTTTAATTTCATTTTTTATAATAAATTAACTACCTTAATTAAGAATATGACAGAACTTTTAATAAAGAAGAAAAAAGGAAAGGAAGGAAAAGTAGTTAGCACCAGAGATTATTATAGAAAAAGATAGGTAAACAGTTTAGTAAGGAATGTGCCTAACAGATCAGTCTGTCGCCTTTGTAACCAATACTATCACAAAAATATGCCATGGCTTCTTCTATAACTTCAAGGCAAGGGGGAGCATTTCAAGTTAAATGTGAAGTACAGGGAAGTCATTGCTTAGCGACTACAATTCAGACCAGCAATTCAATCACTAAAACTGTGGTTACTAAGTGAAAAATCACATGAGTATCATGTGACCATGACTTGAAATTTCACTTCTGTGTTTTCCATTAATTCTGCCTGTTGGAAACTGGTTGTGACATTCACAAATGGCAATCATGTGACCATGGGATGCTGCAATGGCTGTTAGTGCAAAATTTTGTTGCAAAGCCTTTTTCCCACTCAAACTGTTGTAACTTTGAATGGTCACTAAATGAGGCAGTCGGTAGGTAAGGACTACCTGTACAAGAAGCTTTTTCCTAGCTGTACTCGTTGATGAGGAGGAAGGCTTGTTCTAGGCTACGCATTTAGCCTGGCTTAACATAGGGCTAAGAACTGTAAAGTGAAATTCTAGATAGAATATGCTAACTCTCTGGTGCCAACTAACCGCCATCTGGGATTTTACAACAAAGATTTGACTTAAGTGGTGGTGAAATTTGTCATGTCAACAACATTTAAAATGTTAGTGAGGAGGCATATTTGGACACAAATTAGATGAACTTCCAATTACAACCAAGATTGTAATATTGATATGTAAAATTATGACATAGCAATATAATTTCAAATATGTAACCTCAGTCCTTCAGATCAATAACTATTACCATTTAAACAATATAGTATGTTTCTATATGAATACTAATATAAAATGAACATAAAATTCTTACCTATTTCTGTAGTGGTCAATGTTGAAACTTTCTATTTTACACTTTACTTTAGTGTAGACATCTTGTACATCTACTGAGGCACTGAGATCTTCTAACTCACCAACCACACATATCTCTGTAGTATCCAACAAAATTATCCAGTTCATCAATAAGTCATGATTATTTTGTAGAAATGGAGAAGAAAATAGTTTGCCTTAATTTCAAGCCAATATTATTAAGACAAATCTTAAACAACTAATAGTTCCCCCAGAAATGTGTATGGAAAGCTCACATACAATTTGGTTTCTCCTACTCTTAACCTTATCTACCAATGGGCTTAGTATACAGATATTGTACTCATAAAGGAGAGAAACAGGGTTAAATTCTGTTCCACAAACAAAGCCATGGACCTGACTAAAGCTATAGGCACACAAGTACATGTTGATAAATGACATCTAGTTATATAATTTATAACTGCTATTATATAACCTATGCCTTTTAAAAGACAGATCAATCCTAAAGCAGCCATTAAAAGCGGTACACAGTGCACATAATCACTTGCTCTATAGCCATACTTAAGATTCTGCTGACTGGGATCCGATGGGTGGAAGGACATCAATTGCAGCCTCAGTATTGATAAGGCATAATTGTTCTATTTATCCTACTAACATAAGGCTGGCAAACCATTGGCTGTGGTCTCATGCAGCATGCATTTTATAGTTCTCAGACCCAGCCAGAAAAGTCATTCAAGTTTAGTGTCAAAACAGAGACAATGAACGAAGTGATTTGGTCTGTCTTCTTCCCTCAAACATGGAAACAGGGTATGCTAAGCCTCCATTAGGACAGTGTATTTGAGCCAATATATAAGACGAATTCTGTTCCATGATGCATTCGCTTTTTAAAATTAAATGTAATACCTGTGCCTTTGCTTTCTGGATCTGGTGCAAATAACTTTACAGTAAGCTTCGGCAACATCCACTGCATCCATAAACTCACACGTCCGCTTGAGATGCCAATATTGCTTGTTGTTTGCTCTAAGGTAACAGAGTCTGAGAATGGAGAATCATCACCACCTTGGAGGGATTCACCCTGAGAGAGGGGGAGAGCGAGGGGAGGGAGAGAGAAAGAAAATAAAAAACAAATGTAAAATAAATCTAAATTTAAAATATCAATCACTCCTACTCATGTTTTTACATATATATATATATATATATATACACACACACACACATATACATATACATATACATATACACCACATCCGCACTGTGCGGAACCCCACCAC